ACGAAGTGGCGACCGTTAAGTAGTAAGTGAGAGATCTTCTCTAAAAACACGGTAATAAATTCAATAGAGCGTCAGTTGACGAAAAGAAGCACGCGGCGTGCTACGGAATCCAACCACGCGAGTCCGAGAGCCTGCGCGAGCCGTCAGCTTCGTTGAAAAGGTCCGATTGCCGTAAAACATCGAGACGCGTTCGTGGGAATTTTCGACGCGTTAATCTAATGTCCGGTCACAACCTAACCTAACCTTTTTTTTTTTTTTTGTTTGCGCGGAGGAGAAAAATCTTCGTAAAACCCCTTCAAGGAGCGACGATTCGGCCGAGGCCTCCTCGTCCCACGATGAGGGGGAAGACGCCCGTGGCCCGGTACCACGGGTGTGACGGATTCCATGCCGACCGATCGGTTTTACCCGATGCAGCCGACATGGCCTACCGCCTAAAATACTCCCCCAACTCCCGCTCGTCACCTACCTACGTGGAGGGGCGCCTGGAACCATCGACCGATATACTCGCGACGCCCCCCCAGGCTATGTCCCTTCAGGACCCGCCCTCTGTTCGGTATCCCTCCCGAGCGCACTACCTTTTTGCCCGAGCGGAGGAGCCTCCTCGGCTCCCGCGCTTGGGCCCCTTCCCCTTTATCGAGGAAGCGGGAGGACTCTCGGAGGCCTCCCTCTGCCTCTTCTGTCCCCCCTTAGGATCCACCTCCATCGGACCTTCTCCCTCCTAGTTGACGGGTGGGCTCCGATCTGGCGGAACCCTTCCATCGCCAACCCCTGGCGCCCTCGCTGGCGTGCTCTCTCTAGGGGCCACCGGTGGACACGCGAGGCCTCCCGCTCTATGCGCGGCAGGGCGGCCCCTCGCAGCGCACACGGGGCAGAATTCCGCCCGGTCGCACTCCGCCACTCGGTGTCCCTCCTCGCCACATCTCATGCAGCAGTGGGTCCTATCGATCTTTGAAGGACACCACCGCTGCAGGTGCCCTCTCGCCAGGCAGCGATAACATTGAGGGGGACGCTCTCTCAGGAGCGTCACCCTCGCCAGGGTCCATCCAACCTGAACCCTGGACTTGCCCGACACCTTTATCGCCGCCTTTGCCGGACACTCTGCCCAGGTTTCTCCCTGGCGGAAGCGCGTCCGCCGGACGGGGCCAACGCGAACCTCATCCGGCCGGCACCCTCCCTCGTCAGCCACGGCCGCGGCAAGTTCCGCGGCCGAGGCCGCCTCCAGGAATCCATCCAACCTTAGTCGGAGGCGGCGAGAAGGGCAGTACACCCGCACACCCTCTCGTCCCTCCAACACTTGCTCCATACGCGCCGCTAAGGCGGCCGCCTTCTCCCCGGATTCCCTACCCGGGACCTCCATCAAAAGGCCTCCGTTCCGGGCCTCTCTGATTTTTAAGGGAGGAACCCCCAGCTCCGCCAGGGATATCTTTTCCCTGGCCAGAGCAAAGGTTTCCCTTGAGGCAGAGAGGTCCCCGCCGCACTGCAGCATCACCGCCGCGCAGTTGGGGACCCTCCTCCTCGCCGTCTTTGAAGGGCCCGCGGCTTTACCCCTTCCCGCAGAAGGGGTATTCGCGGGTGCTATCTGAGGGGGCTGTCCGCTTCTTGCGGGTCTTTCCCCTCCCCTTCCTTTGGCCACATTGGCCCAACTTTGTGCGGGGGTGGGGGCCGAAGGCCCGGCCACAGATTGCTCCGCGGCCTGGGCCCCCGACCTCTTCCCCCGCTTCCTCCTCTTCCTACTTTTGGAGCCCGGGACTTCCTTCCGCCCGGCGCTACCACCCATCTCCGAGGCCGGGGGAGGCGTCTTGCTCGCCTCCTCCAGCCTCCTGATCCTCTCTTCGAACCCCCTCGCGACCACCATGCAACTACTGCACCGCTGGCCCCGAGGGGGATCGACCTTCTCCTGGGCAGGGGAAGGAGCCGTCCCGACTCTATGCGGGGCCGCCCCTCCCCCGGCCCGGCGGCCCTCTCCAGAGGGGCCCGGAGTTGGACTCCCAGTCGGCACAGGATCCGGGGAGGATCCCTTGGCCTGAGCCAGAGCCCTCTCCATCTCCACCATGTCGCCGGTCAGTCGCTCCAACTCCTCCCTCAAGGCCGACGCCTCAGTCTCGAGGGTGGAGATCTTCTTCCTTTGCGGGGACGTACCCGCCGCCACGGCCCGGCCGGCCAAGACCCGGATCGCCTCCCTCAAGAGGAAAACGTTAACCCGGATCCGCCGGCCCGCCGGCCCCGACCTCAACGCCTTCACCGTCTGGCGCAGATCGTCAATTTCGTGGAGCCAGCCGTCGGACCGCCCCGCGATCTCCGACAGCCGGCCTCCACGAATAACCTCGAGCCGCTTTGCGGCTAACGCCTTCTCCTTCGGCGAGAACGCCGCCGGGATCCGTCGAATCATCGGCTCCCCCTCATCCGAGTCGGAGAGCGAACTCGGGTCCGCCATCTCCGCTTCTTCCAGCTCGCCCGAGGGAGGGGAGCGCCTCCAGAACTTGTTCAGCTCCGGTGGCGACTTCCCCATCCTCCGGGGCCGATCCATTCGCTCGATCCTTATCTCGGGCAGCCCGAGGTTGGGGACGGAAGAGGGCTGTCCAGGCCCATCCTTCCCCCCTTTTGCGTCCTCGACCTTCTCAGGAAGGAGCACATTCACCGGCTCCTCATCCCGAGACAGGTCTATCATCACAGGGGCGGAGGAGGCAGCCGTCCCGCAGCTCGGCTCGCACGACGGCTCGCGCGAAACGCTGCGGGAGGCGCCATCCCTCCTTCCCAGAACCTTCTCTGGCGACGGGTACTTCGGGGATCCCTCGCCTGCAGCAGCCCTTTCGGCCGCGCTACGGGGGAAATTCGCCAGACCCTTTTGCACCGCTAGAACCCACTCGTTGTTATCTAGCTCAACATCTCCCAAATCTCTCTCATCCTTGTATCGGACCCTTCTGTAGGTCCCGGGCTCCACTACCTCCTCGTAAAAATCAAAGGAGGCCTCGTCCCACCCCTCTAGTTTGCCGGGAATATGCTCGTCTCTCCGGAGCAGCTTCCCGCCAACGCTCACGAGCTTGTGCTCGAGGATGTAATCCTCCTCCCCCGCGCACTGCTCTCTCCAAACACTTACCTCATCGTCCGTAGTGAGGTCCGCAGTGTCCCGGTCGCTGTCGGTGGTGACCAGCAACCTCTCCTCCAGTTCCTTCATCCTTCGCCTGAATTCGAGAGTGGCGGGATGAACTTCCTCCTCTCTCGGCTGGCTCACGGCAGTAGCAGATTCCACTGAGGCCCCTGCCGGGTTGACCTCAGCTAGCCCTTCACTCGATGCCGACCGGGCGGGAGCAGGGACGGTACTCCCACCAGGCCGCCCCAGAGGTTCCGAACTCCTCCGGGTGTTGGACTTCAAATTGCTTCGCATATTTCCATCCTATGTGAGTTTAATTTTGCGAAGACCCGACTCCGGGCAATATCTTCGGGTTGCCATCCCCTAGACCGGTTGCCACCCAAGGCTCACGGGCCCGCTCTGCCCGGATTTGGTCCGCGGCCGCTTATTCCCCTTGGAGGGTTATTCACGGCTAACCTCCAATCCATAGGAGGCCGTTCCCCTATCCGCCACCCGGGGACGCGCCTGGTTGCGGTTTTCTCCGCTCTCCACGCGGGTTAAGGCTGCGGGACTGAGCCACGCACCCACCCGGGGAGCCAGGAACCTAACCTAACCTAACCTTGGAACCGGATCTGTTCCAGCTCCCGGTTCCAAGTTGTGGCGGCAACGTCGTCGCAACACCGGCGGAGGGCCATCGGATCTCGACCGAGCCCTCACTCGAAGACGTCTCGTCCGACTCTACAGCAGAGGGAAACCAGGACGGAGACAGTACAAGAAAACCCGAGGACGACATCGAGAGTCTCGTCCGGGACATCGAGGCAGGCGCGGCAGCGCCGATGTTAGCGCCTATAGTGGCGCAACCCGTCTCACAAGCAGTCAACTGCGAAGAGCTTCTACGACAGACGGAGGCGATAATTAAAACTCTTGAATAAAAATGTCTGTGTTAAGTGTTTTGTGGTCAATAACCACATTTTTTGTGTGTTTCATCGGGGCTTATGCGTTAGCCGCCGTATATGATTTAATTATACTAGTTTTAGAGAAGTCGCTGGAAAAACAGCGCAATTGTCAGTAAAGTCATTTTTATTATGTCATGTCCAAGATTATATTTTTTATATGTTACGCAAGATTTTGCGAAGTCTCTAATTATGTTTCTTTTTAAAATGTATTTTATATACAGGCTCAAGATATACTTTGTATGACCGTTTTTTATTATAAATTTTCATTGTAAGCGCACTGAATGAGATGTATGAAAAATGAGTGAGCGCGATATTTTATATTGTATACGTTCGATTCTAGTCGAAACATGTTTAAAACACGCGAAAAGCGAATAAAAATGCGTTAAAATAAAGATAAGTCACAATTTATAGAAGATATACTTACCTGCGACGATAATTATTACAATTCCGCAGCGAGACACTTACAGGTACCTAAAAAATAGAGAAAATACAGTTAAAATCAGTTTGAGTCACAATTTCACGAGTTAAATACTCACCTTATAAGTTTTGCTAAAATATAGCCGACGGGTTACCTGAAAATAAGAAATTAATATTAGTTAGTCACAAATAGTGCATTATTAGATGATATAAGTTTCATACGATTCATTTTACCACTTTTATTTAGTGAGAGATACGTTGATTGAGCATTTGATAAGATTTTGCCACATTTCACGCGAAGATAGATAGTCAGTATCAATTTCAGTGGTTTCTACCACAATTTGTCACAATTCATTTTATTAACATTAGTTTTAGTTTATTTAACAAAAAAGTGCCACATTTGGTCACAATTCCGCGTGCTAATACCTATTGTAAAAGTTTCTCTCACAATTCGCCACAATTCATCACCCAGGAGGTCGTGACGGCGCTCCGGGGATAAAACGCGGACTCTCGGAGGATATTCACCACATTTCGATGGTAACTCCGATGTCGGTATCATGAAGCCACTCGGGAGGTAACTAGGGACATACGA